CAGCCTGTAGCTCATTTGATCAATTTACAGTGATACCAACTGAAATGCATTTTTATTTTGGCACCCTTTGCTTGCAATCCAGGCTGGAAAAATTCTTAGAAACAGGTCTTACAGTTTTTTCATGACGGGGTGAATTGAACCCTCCCTTTTGTTCAAATATTTTCTGCAGAAAAACATGAATCTAGGAGCCAGGCATTAAACAAAACAAAGACTTCCAAAACCCAAACCAAAACCAGGCAGAAATGCATATAGGAACACCTTTTCATATGGTTGCAATGGACTGAAATATAACCCTTTACCCATGTCTGGCACACAGAACTTGTATAGAGTTAAATCTACACCATGATACACTCAATTTTTTCCCTTGCTTTCCAGTTAGCGAGACCCCATCAAGCAGAAGGCATGAAGGCAAGGGAGATGGGGGACTAGGAAGCGGTAGGAGAAACATACATGCACCAAAACGTTTCATGTGCTACACTCCGAGGCATCAGCTGGAGCCAGGTGGTGGTGGTGGGATCAGTCACATTTACTTTGGGAGGGCATCAGGCTGAGTCAGTCTGCAGCACTGGGTTGGAAACAATTGTCAGAGCCATGGTGTAGACCAGACAGGTGAATCTCAAGAGTGGAGGATGACACAGAAAATGGCTGGCTAACAGGGGCAGAGGCATAGCTAAGCACCTTCAGAATAACATATCTGGGGGAAAGAGGAGGGCAGCTGTTACTATTATTGAAAATTTCTCTCCAAGAACCTCTCTGGAGAAACAGCAGAAGCAGATAGACCCTGTGGGCAGAGAAGAAAATACCTACTTGCTCATCTGTAAGGACTTCATATATATGATCCCAGTGAAGCCATTTGATATCTTCCTATGGCCTCTTGCAAGAGGAAGAGCAAGTCTTTAGCTCTGCAAGTAGGTTTAGGTTCAAACTGGCAAAGAGCAGCACTGCATACACATGAAATGGAAAGAGACAAATATCATAGGCAACTTTATTTTCACTTTTGATGATGTTTGACTAGCAGGTAGGTAGTGAATGGGGCTTTTTCCCTATGTAGGACATAGCCAGTCTGAATATTTCAGATGGCAAAGTTCAGCTGAGTAGTCAGACAAATCTGAGAAAGATGTTTTAAATTTTCCATGAAAACCCACGTTCTTCCTCTTATATGACTCAAGCTTCAGAATATGGCTCCAAATTGAAATGAAGAGTTTTTTCAAGATTTGTGTCTTTCAGTTCATGTTTGGCAAACTAGCAATAGTTTGGAACTGAAAAGCTGAGAGAAGATTTACTAAACACTGAAGGAGACCTGCAGACTTCCTTCATTATACAAAGCTCTCCCTTTAATCTTTCCCTCAGATATTCAGCCATGGTTGAGCCCACAAGACTAACTTGGACTAGCAAGATCTCTTCTTGCCACAAACACATAGATTTGCTTTCAACTGATGACTTTAACAGCTAGAAAATATTTTTCTGCTTTTGTTGATTTCTTGTGGTTGGCTTGTATCTTTCTTCTTGTATTTGGGTTTTTTGTTTTTTTTTTCCAGCTTAGAAAGACAAGTTATTCAGGCCTCTTCTTGTTTCCTACTGTTCCACTTCAAGGTGGATATTAAGGAAAGGGTTTTCACCCAGAGAATGGTTGGGGCCTGGAGCAGAATCCCCAGGGGAATGGTCACATCACCAAGCCTGACAGAGTTCAAGAAACATTTGGACAACACTCTGAGGCACAAGGTGTGATTCTTGGGATTGTTCTATGCAGGGCCAGGAGTTGGGCTTCAGTGATCCTTGTGGGTCCCTTCAAACTCAGAATATTCTGTGATGAGCCTATGATTCTAAGTTATGCCATTCACAGAGTATTCTGAGTGGGAAGAGACCTACAAGGATCATCAACTCTTAAGTGAATGGTCTGTAGAGGGATCAAGCCTGCATCCTTTGTGTAGTCGCAGTTCTGCACAGCTGAAATCAAGGTTTCCTAAGCATGGGTACTCAGAGCTGCACACAAGGTCTCCTTAAGTTTTCTGCTAAAGCATTAACACTTTCTGATATCTGTCTCACTGGATTTTAGTTGTTTGTTTTGATGTCTGGGTCATACTGTGGCATAAGAATTACTTTGCATATCAGGGCCAGGTATTTGTGTTTACTTATAAGCTTGGAGCACCTAGGGGAAATTGTACTGCTAGTAGTAACTTTGTATTTACATTTTTTGTTTAATCTTTACCAGTTTTCAGAGTCTTGGCATGTTTTTATTCAATTAATGATACCTCTAAATGCCTCATCTTAAAAAATTTAAAGTCTGTACTAGTATCATGATCACTTATGAAAATATGAAACAAGATTTGTCCCTACACTTAGTTTGATGTGCTTTCCTAATTGCTTCTGTCCAGCCTTGTGATGCTTTTTTTTTTCAATGGTTTCTGTATGCCATGAGCCAGATCCTTACTACACACACAGTTTTTCTGCAGAGCTCCAGCTAACAAATAGCATCTTCTGCACTGCTATGCCAAACACTGTAGTGAAACACAGGTGAAGAGCATTACACTGTTCACCTTGTGTAGGATATCATCCAAAAAAGCTTAGGAAGGCTGTGGTGTGATCTTTCTTGTCACATTTAAGTCCATTCCTTGCCTAAGACCTGGTCTTTCTTTTAAAAGACAGAACCTAATGTACTAGCAGTTCTCTTGAAGTGGTTACACAATTAGGCTTTCTCTTTTGTTTGGTACACAGATTCCCAAAACTTTTAGTTGCTCAGACCTGTAGAAGCTGAGGGCTTCTTTCACATTTTATTGCCCACACTCTGCAATCCATCTGATTTCAATAATCAGTTCCAAAAGTTTACCAAACTGCCCTTTTGAAATACAAAATCTTATTAACAGACTCAGTTATTTGTTCCATTTAGTTAGGAAGTGTCAGCCCCTGATTACTTGAACCAAGGTCCCTTTTTTTTTTTTTTTTTTTTCCTGCACCTATGTATTACCAAAACCAAGTCTCCATCAACATTACTTTTTAATGGTTCTGGGAGAATTTGACATTTACTGGCTATTACATCCATAAATATCTGGAGTCTGACATTTTTAGTGGTGGTTGTTCTTGATCCATATTTGGGGAGGTAAAAATTTCCCTGCATAATACAAGCTCAATAGAACTTATCTCTCTAATGGCATCACTGATGCCTTCTACATATAACCAGAACAAAATCAAGGGGCTTGCACTGTCCAAGTGCTTGGAGACCAGTGTTCCAGCTGTGATTGCTATTCTGTTCTGTTATGAGTGTGTACCTGTCCCACCTAGTGCCCTGCCAGTTTATTTTATGCTTTTCCCTTTTTTGGTACAGATATTGTTCTTAAAATTTTCTCTACCCCATAACCACAGTTTTCTCAAGACCTGAACCTGACACTCACTGTATTGCCACCTTGGAAGCAGTTGTCTTCACAGTTTGTGCTTTCTTTATTCTTATTTCCTGCCATTCTGATCACTTAAATTTCTCTATCCTTTGGCATACCCTCACATACCTACTTTCTCCTCTGGTGCTCTATGGGCATGTGGAGATTATTCAAGTCTTTGACTCTTTACCCTTCCTTTCTCAGTTCAAAGCTCTGCTTATCAGTTCTGCCAGACTTGCTTCCAGAAGGCTGTTTCCACAGCTGCTTAGGCAGAGTCTGTCCTTCAAAAAGGGTCTTCTTTCAATAAATACATCCCAATGGTCAAACACTGCCAGTCCTTTGGCTATCTGTTGATCTTTCTTAAAGCACTCTTATTTTTGGCCTTTTTTAAATTTCCTATAGTAAATTCTAGACCCTAGAATAAATTATTAATTAAATAAGCCACATTAAGAAAGGAAAATTAAAAAATATAATGGCATCAATCCAGTCTCCAGTTGTAAAAGTAAACTCCCTAATGCAATAAGGCAGCCCAGAGAGACAAGTGAGCAGCAACCACAACCAGCAGTGAATATTCTGTTCCAGACCCCTCAGGTCTTCCTGTCTATACAGAAAGTTTTGCCGTCCTTGCTGTGTCTGTCAAAAACAAGAAAACAAATGCCTGAGGTGGACAGAAAAATATCAGGGAAAAAAAGAGCATTTTTGCTCGTTTATTTATTATTTTATTCATCAAAACAGTTCCACTGGGGTGGTTCTGTTGGCATTATATTAGTGTAGGTTTGCTGGAAAACCCTTTCACATGTGATAGACACAGTCTAATGGAATAGAAGAGGGCAGGGACTACTCCATGTCTATTCTGCTTTGGAGGGTGATTCAGCAGGGGAGGCTTTTGAACCACATCAGTTTTGGGTAGAAATGAATGTGATGTGAGAAAGGGCAGGAATAGCCCCCAGAGAATTAAAAAAGGCTGCAGTGGATGTCATCATGGATGTTCTCTGCTCACAGAACTACCTCAGATATCAGCACTCCTGAGCCACAGGCTCAACAAGCTCAGCAACAACTTCTGACAAGCTTATATTTTGCTTATGCTAGACTATAAAAAAACTTATGAGTGGCTTCATAACAAAGGCAAATAGGTAAGGAAAAACACATGCAGTTGTAATGGAACCTGAAGAAGCAAGGTAGTCACTTGATTTGGGGAGACAAAACACATTCAAGCTTTGCTTTCCCTTTTCATTCTTCCCTCTCTGCCTCCTCCTTCATGCCCACTCTCTTTTCTTTTCTTTTCTTTTCTTTTCTTTTCTTTTCTTTTCTTTTCTTTTCTTTTCTTTTCTTTTCTTTTCTTTTCTTTTCTTTTCTTTTCTTTTCTTTTCTCTTCTCTCCGAACCTCTCCGAACCTCTCCGAACCTCTCTGAACCTCTCCGAACCTCTCTTCTCTGAACCTCTCCTCTCCTCTCTGAACCTCTCCTCTCCTCTCTGAACCTCTCCTCTCTGAACCTCTCCTCTCTGAACCTCTCCTCTCTGAACCTCTTCTCTTCTCTTCTCTTCTCTTCTCTTCTCTTCTCTTCTCTTCTCTTCTCTTCTCTTCTCTTCTCTTCTCTTCTCTTCTCTTCTCTTCTCTTCTCTCCGAACCTCTCCTCTCCACTAAGACTCATATTTCTGTGGAATATAAGATGACATGGTTGATCTAAACTCACAGTAAAATTTGATTGAATGAAGTGCAAAAATGTATTGGCACTACAAGCAGCTTTGTATTGTAATTAATTCAGAACTGATGTGTGAATTCAGAAAAAAAGCCACAGTATTTCTGAAAATGCTAGCCTTTTTTTTTGCTTGGTGGGATTTTTTTTTATTTTTTGGTTTTTTGGGTTGTTTGTTTGTTTGTTTTGTAATGTGACAATTCCTGTTAGTTAAAATACCACATAAAGAGTCAAAACAATGTAATTTTGTACATGATCATCATAATAAGCACGTTATAAATATTGAATAAAGTTCTGTGAGGAAGCAGCCCCCTTGGTATTTGGAGTTATGCCTTTAGGTTTAACAGTAAATTAAGTGAAAGGAAGTGCTGGCTAGCAGGAGTGAGTAGTTTTCATATCTGGTCCAGTTACCAGTTCACACTGAACTTCAGAAAAGTGATTTCAACTCTCACTATCTGTAAAGTCAGAAATGTGCTAATATTTTCTGTCTTCCTGGGCTTGCAGAGGGTTCTTAGAAAAATCCACAACACACTGACATACATGTAAATCACAGCTGTTGAATAACTGTGATCAGCAAGGGAATGGACCTGCGAAGACTTGAAGTAATTTGGCCATTAACCACGTTTCAGTCAGCTATCTCTCTCTACTCAGAGACTACTCTGCTTAAATGGGAAGAGCAAGTTTCAACCAGAGTGCTGGCTCCCAGGGCTGCAGGTAAAGGGCTGTATGGTCAGCCAGGTGATGTGCTGGTCTTGTCTCTTCTAGCCCACCTGAAGGGAGGCTCTGGACATCTGCAGTCAGCTCCAACCCTCAGCGTCCACCCCATTTTCCTCCCCTGCTTTCTGCTGCCCAACAAATGTATGGTTAAGCTGAACAGTGAAGATCAGAAGTTCAGAGAGGCTGACTCTCTCTAACTTTAGCTTAAACACACCACTGCAGCTTGGTGAAGTTTAATTCCTTTGGGTGGCTCCAAAAGTTTCCAGCTGCAGGATTTCCCTCCGCACTTTTTCCTAGGCAGAACATAACCTACTTATTTTCACCTTTAAAGGCCTCGGAGGAACAACCAAGCAGAAAAAAATAAATCCATCCATCCATCCATCCATCCATCCATCCATCCATCCATCCATCCAAACTACAAAGATACTACTTCTGTCACAGCTTGTTCTCTAGCTGCTAATCAGTAGAAGATATGAGAGTGTGTCAGAGAACAATGGCTGCATTTTTTGGCTTTGTAATTTTTTCTAAACATCTGCTATTCGTCACCATCAGAAGCAAGAGTCTAGAGGGATGTTGGTATTATCCAGTATGACCATTCCTATATTTTGATATTATGTTCTGATAATTTGGCCTTACACAGCCTCAGGAAGCCAAGACATGGTAATATCTGGGCAAAAGGGCATGAATCAAACATTGCTGTCAAAGCCTATTCACTAATATTTTGGAATAAGCACATAATAAAAATGATGAAGAATCCACCCTTCAGCTTGGCTGTTTGCTGCAAATATTATAAGGGTATTAAACTAAACAATGGCTTGTACTCATCTGGCTCTCCAGATGTTTTCTATGACTCTTATTTTCTATCAATCAGTTAACCATGGTTTTTGCTTTCCTTAGCAATGTATTTCCAAATCACAATCAAAGAAACTAACGGCAAATAATAAGGGCTAGATTGTATTTGATTGCTGCTAGTTGCTCATGGGAAAGGAAACTACAAGAAACACTGCCAATCCTTCACACTGGCAGACCAGCCAGGAACACTTCCAGCCCCCCTGACTGCCCCCGCAGTGCGCTCCGTGCCAAAGGGGCTGAACAGCGGTCGCGTCTGATGGGGAGACCCTATGGCTAGCAGTGGAGGGAGACGTGCCTGATTGCTACACAGGACAGGAGATACAGAATAATTTATTCCTCTTTCCACTCAGTCCTTTATTACAGCCTGCCCAACTCACTCAGAGACACAGCAGGCTTCAGTCATTTAGTCTATCAGTGGCTGTTTTTAGCCTGGCTCTATGAGCAAGCACAGCTCATATAATTGCTCTGTGTGCGCGTGTGTGTGCAGAGTTGTCTAAAAACTTGTACTTTTGTACCCATTGGGTAATTGTAGCTGAACCTGGCAGAAAGGTAGAGGTTCCAGAGATAATCAAGCTGGTAAGTTTTTGCAAATATAGAAAACTGAAGAGTTTTTCTACTGATGGAAAAGCTGAAGCCCACGCTCAGTTCTCATTTCACACAGAGAGAATCCACCTGGGAAAGAGACTGGATGTATGTGAAGGAAAGCTTCAGTCAGAGCTTATACCTTATTAGATATAAGGGAATCCACTCCACAGCCAAGGCTTCTCTCCCCTATGGATTCTCCAGTGTCTGATAAGGGCAGAACTCACAGTGCAGCAATAGTATAATTCATTTAAAATGTCAGTCAGCCATGAAACACTAACTCCATTGGAAACTAGGCTTCCGGAATAATTCTGGTATTCATGGAAATACTTGTTCCCTCACATACTGCAAAGCTCCAGGAGGAATTATGGGTGTTTCTCCATTGCTTCCAGTCTCCAAGCTAACTCTCTCAGAACTATCTCTGTCCAACAGTAGACTGGGTCTTTCTAGCTCCCACAGCCTCTGGAGACTTCAGAGAGGAAAGTTGTACTTCACTTCTTCCCTCAGAGCCAGGCTCATCAAGCATAACTTGTCTGAAGAACCTTATTCACAAAAGAGCTCCCCGTTCCCTTTTAGGCACAGAAGGGTATTAAAAAAAAAAAAAAAAAAAAGACCAGCTTTCTCAATGGCTTCCTGGCCAGAAAGAATTGCTGGCTGCTGAGCACTTGTGGAAAAATGCTCTATTGAGAAGTGTAAATGAGAATGGAATCTTTCTGAAAATCTGGATCCAACAGGGGACTATTGGCACTTGGAAGTTTGGCCCTCATTTCTTTTGAAATACGTAGCTCTTAAATGAGCAAAATCAGAAGTGATTTTTCAAGTCTCCTGCCTTCATTTCCCCTTATTCCCAGGTAGCAATGAAAATACTTGTGGTATTGATGTCAGGCATTATGCTCAAACCAGAAAAAAAAAAAAAGGACACATTTCAGTTTTTTGAGTGCTCAGGTTTCCTCTAGATACTGTTTTAAAAACAGACTCATTAGGAAATTCCCCAATTATTTGTATTGTTTTCCCATGTTAAAAGACAGAATGTGATTTCTTAATTTCAATATTATTATTGAATAGGGATAGCTATTCCCTGCAGAATAAATGGATTATTCCAATCCACTCAGGGATCAGCATTATTTCTGGCTGCTACATTTCCCTGGGAATGCATACTAATGTCATGATAGGTATTTGACAGTGGTATTAAAAAAGTAAGAAAGGAAAGAGACGTATCAAGTCATTCGATTAGTGATAAAGAGAGAGCGGGAGATCAGCACCTGGAAACACATGCAAGTTCTCCCATCAGAGAGAATCCCATTTAAAATGTAACAATTCTGACACCTGATCTTGGCAGAATGTAAGTCAGGGCTGATTTGTCACAGATCTGCATGGGAGCAGGGCTTCAATGACAAAGAAAGCAAAATTTACTTTCCATATAGCTACACAGTGCCGTTTGACTTCAATAGGCATTGCAAATACATGCTGGGAGTTAAACTCTGACTCTGCTAAAAGTCAGGGTTGCAGGAGATTGCACTGAGATTGTAGGCAGGACAGATCAGATATTACACAAGCAAGAAGGAAATGTAAACCTCACAGAATTAACATATATTGTCACATTCTATTAAGGTTTTCTGTAGGGCTAGATCAGATTAAATGCATTGAATCACAGTCATCTTACAGCATATGAAAATATTGTCATGGATAGAATTTTTCATTAGTGAATAAAATGCAGAATAATGAACAGTAGACAAAAAAAGTGAGAAGATGTAAAGCCAATCAAAGGAAGGGCAGATGTTTAAAAAGTCTTTTGCTATTCAGGATTGTGATCCAACAAAAGCAATTATGTTTCTGCTTTCTCAATTTCAAAACAGCAGAAAAGAGCTTTGAGGTTTTTCCAGTGCTTATGGTCTATCTCCACACCGTTAACTGAACAGAAGGTAACATAATACCAAACATAGCCAAAGGCAACTGATTCCATGCAAAGCTTATAATTTGGGACATCCAGTGAGTTAAAGGGGATCGTAATCAAGAAGGATATATATATATATATATATATATAT